GACCAGCTCTGCTGCCCACAGAGGCAGACGACTTTGTTACGCTTTGGGGCCCGTTTCTGTCACTGCTCCACTTCTGCCGCTACCCGAACCGCAGCTCTGCAGGCCGGCGCAACCAGGCTGCTGCCACGGCCCTGTCTATTTCTCATCCCACAGCTTGCTTACCTAGGTTGTTCTCGTGCATTTTCTTGCACAGTGCTCAAGGCTTATCCTGGAGCAAGAGTTGTTCTTTAACTCTTTGGCTTGATTTGTGACGTTTCCTACAATACACATCTGTATTACTGTACATCCAGAGAACTTTTTCATCAGTCACCTTTAGATCTTAGTTTAATGTCTTCCTCTTTACAATCAATTTGTATACCACCTTGTCATCTGACCACAATGCCATTACCGCAGGCAGCACCCTGCAGGCACCTTTTCAAATAATTAAAAGCAATACCATTATCGTTGCATTAGCCACCCTTCCATCTCTTTAAAGCATGGACAGTTATACCTAAGTATAACGGATTAGGAGGGACAAGTCTCAGTCTGCTGAAGCAAGAGTATTTTGGCTTACATGGAAGCTTCAAAAAAATAAAGTGGAAGTTGTTCCCACTAAGAAAGTCTCAGTAATTTGTCAAAGCACTATGGCTTGGCTGATGCATGATAGCTTTTAAAGCCACCCATAGCTTCTTTTCATGAATCCAGAAATGTAACACCAAGAATATCTTATTAGAATTTAAATCTTAAGTATGCAAACAAGAAGCAGCATAGACTCTTTCTAAAAAACCTAGTCAGGCAAAGAGCATGGCTAGAACATCCAAAATAACCTAACAGTCTATCTTTTCTTTTCAGATAAAGATTAATGAACAATTTTAAGGACCAAGTGCATTCACTAGGAATGCTGCACTACACAATCCAGTTCTTTCAGCATCATGATTTTAGCCAGACTGCACTGAAGGAAACAGAAGCGCTGACATTAACGTCAAAGGAGGACCGATTCTGATGCTACAGACTTAAATTTCCTCTATAACGTTCACGCATATTTTTTCTCCCACAGCAAAACTGGCTCAAGTTCTTACATGTGGTCACTACTGCATCTTCCTATCTCTACTCTAACTCTGCGTGGATTCACTGTAAACTGGATACCTAAGAAGTTGGGTTAAAAAAAAATCCCTGAGGGGACCGGTACTTCTCAAGCCAGCTTTGTCATTGCAGAAGACTACTGCAAAATTCACATGCCAAACTACGTATTATCATTGGATACAAACAGTATCTTGTGAAGGCCTAGACATTTCAATTATTGAAAAATTTTGAGGCATGGGGAAAAAAAAGATCAAGCTTCAGAAACAGTTTCAATGTGAATGCAACAGCATACTGCATGCTAGCATTAAATCAGCAGAAGGCATGTTAAATCTTTAGCTTAGCATCAATTTTGGTAGTTAAAATTGTATGAAAAAAGGATGAAAACCCAACAAGCTGCCAACATTCTTAAAATCTCTTATTGAGCAAGTTATACAAGAGTCAGCGTTCTAGTCAGGATTCAGGCAATATGACTCGGGTATAATGCAATTGCTTGCTTCAACCTGGACATTGTGAAGAGCTGTAAGTACATATATCTATATATATATATTTTAAGTCACAGAAGCTGACTGTCCAATGGACTTCCATACTAGGATAACTAAAACACTGTATCAGCCACGCTAGGAGGTTTGCTGTGAGGATTTCCTCCAATACAAGCAGAATTACGCTGATCACAACCAAAATTTCCCCCTATAAGCAAGAGAGAATCATTATGCGTATCTGTAGCCTTTTATTTAATTTTTGTCCCAGTGATTAATGTCTCTTTCTGCTTGAACACTGTCCATCAGCAGGACTCTGGCCTCTAAGAGATACCATAGGCTCTATTAGTTTAGGAAATATTCCGGAATTGCAGTGCTAACTGCTACTGAGGAACTCAGCTAGGTTAAACAAGAATAGGGGAAGGACTGTTACAGTTTTCTGAGAGAGATTTGCACACCTTAAAGCTTCAACGTGTTGGATGCTAAAGTGTGTACTTAATACATTTTATTTAATATCAACTTGTTACTAACCATTTTCCAATGCTACATCCTACAGGCAGCTTTGAAAGCTGCTTGTGGCAGATCGCCTAAGTGTCCAAGAAATACTGACTAACCACATACCTTCATAGCCCATCTGCTTCTCCTTCCCCCCAGAACATGCAAAGTGTGTGCAAGACACTATATTTCAGTCCCGCCTTTAGAAAGGGCTGCTCTTGTGAAAAAATTTAACTTTCCTTGTACATTTCACAAAGAAGAAAAGCACAAGACCTCCTGCCAAGTAACGCTAGCCTCTATATTAACAAAACATCTAATTCCAATTATCTGTTGCTCTATCTGTACCTTTTCAATACCTGAAAGAATCCTGAGGTTTTGCTGAATTGTAGCAATTTGTGATTTACATCAGTCCACCTATTCTACCTTATAGTTCAGCCAGACATTTAAATAATACCATCACACATTAACTGCACTTTACACTGGAAAAAGATACATACCATATATACAGATATGCCTAAAAATAGTATACATTTACAAATACATAAATATACAAAAGGAGTTTGGCTATATCCAATTTAGATGTTTCTAACATTCAGTGTCTCCAGTAGAAAAATTTTCAGAAGTCTGTTAGAAGAATGTAGGCTTCAATATACCTTCTGGTTTAGAGAAGATGTATAGTGCAAAGGTAAGTAATAATATTCCCAGATTTCGGGCAGAAAGACTTAAAAAAAAATCCGCCTGCACATATCAGGCCACAAACCTCAAAATGATCTACTGTATGTCCTAAAAATAGACAGTGTTGATTTATTTTTACCTGTATTTACATCTCATTGTACTTTTGGGGTGTGATAAGACAGGAAAATTAAGAATTATTTTTACTTCCTATACTCATCTCACATCTGTCCAATCAGCAGGGAATAATAACCAGTTTACATCATTGGAAGAGCACCACAAATTGTAATTCCGTTTGTGCTATTAGCATCAAGATGATGTGGAACCTGTGACTGAAAAGATACGAGTATTTTTCAGTACACTGATCTTTTACAGTTTATCTTTGTCCCATGAATACACAGTACTATTTTTGGTTGTAGTTCATACATTGTCCTAAATTCTATTAAATTACAAATTAAAGAGGAAAGCATACCACGGAACAGAGTCACACCAGACAGCCAATCCCGTAAGACCCCGACGACAGAACTACCTACTTGCACAAAGTCCTCAGTTCCTCGAGGACTCCCCAGTAAAAGCAACCTCTGCAGCGTTCAGTGGGAAACAGGAACCTTACAAATCCAGGTTATAATGCCCAGCCAGGCCACACTGCCCCAGGACTCAGGGAAAGGTAACACAAATAAGCCTTTTAGTCCAAACTTTAGTCCATTAGGAATTCAGGCCTTCTAAAACAATTCCATTACACGTAACTCACAATGCAGCTACAGATCATTCCACTCGGATGAGTAACGGTATTCAGCCTGACAGTCTGTTGCATCTTGAAGAAAAAAGTGCTTTAAACTCTCAGAATCTAGGAACTCTAGTTTGACAGAAGGGTAAATTGCACAGCTGGTGATGTAAGTTCACATCAGAGTTCATGCTTACTCTGCCGGCATGAATATATGCACCAAAGTACTTAACCAGCTAAGAGGCATTCATATGGCGGCATGCAGAGACCTTGATATGTATTAATCTCAGCACTAATCATTCAAGCACTTTCGTACGCTTCAATACATTGTATACTGTTGGGAAAGTTAAAAAAAGATGGAGCTACAAACCCTGTGGGGCTGAATTCAATTAGCTTGTAAGAATACATAGATTAGCCACTGAAATTCAACACTATTTTTCTACCAATACTATTCTAAGGCACCTGTGTTACAGATGCAGGGCAAGATGGCAGTTTAGTCAGTCCGTTCAATCACTGGACTCAATAGATTAATTATATTAATTTATATTATTAAGTCCAACCTTCAAAAGGTCATTAAACGTTGCTAGAAGTGAAAATCCACACAGATGCTGACCTTGCATTCAGCATCATCTTTCCATTGCCAGTAGCTAAAAACTATCTGCACTTTGTAAGTGATCATTAGTCATCTGACATTTTAAACAGCAAAATAAAGTGAATAAAGCATCACAGTTACCACATTAACTGCTCATTTGAGCGTTTCATTTCTTTTTAGGAGAGAAACAGCAGAGGCACAACAATCTCTTCTCAGTGAACATATTTACAATTCAAGGATCCGGCACAAGTTGCGTTTGAATTCATCCACATATTTGCCGGACAGCAGTCTAAACTTCAGTAAATTTTAGATGAGGGAAATGTCACATTTGAGATTTTTACTCTAGCTAATTCAACACTATTTGTTCACTATTTCTTCACCACTACAAGTTCACTGTGCTCGTGGAGAGGCACTTGCTGTGGGGTTACTTACTGTTCAAAATATGCTGTTCTCACTGCAGCAATGGCAGAGCTGACAAACAGCCCGTTCTACAGTGTCCTCGTACCATGCTGCAACAACCAGAACACATAACTCGCAACTAGAATACATGCAGTAAAGATGGGAAAGCCACAGGTTATTTGCTGTACTTTTAATACCGTAGAAATAAACTACGAAAACTTCTAGAAAAATAAATAAAGCAGAAGGTCAGGGTTTTTTGTTTATAGGAAACTTACAAGAGGTCTTGAACAGTTTTAAAAACTTACAAAATACATTCAAGTGTGGAAAGTCACTTTACTTATAAAACAGCATTTCTTTATAACGTGTTTTCCCCCCAATCAGGATATCAAAGTATAGGCATATCAAAAGTGTCATTCACGCCATCAGGACATATCGCTTTTCTCCACTCCAAGAAACAGCCCAAGTATTTTAAGTCAATATAACTGTAGTATTCCTGAAGAGCAAAATAACATAAAAAAGTGATTAATAAGGACAATACAGGGAATAAATACACAAGATAGAACATTTACCAAGTCTTCGGTAGCCACAAGTTGGTATTCAAAAGTGCTTATCTCTTCAGCTGGCTTTGTTTCACTGGTCTGTTTTAGGCTAGTAATTTGGTATCAAACATAAGTAAATGGCAGTTTTCAGACTCTCGGTCACAGTTTACATGTTCAACTTATAAAGGGCCAATGTAAATTTAAGATACTACAGCAGAGTCAGCAGCAGGGAACACTAAACCAGCCTCAACGATTTTGCAGTGAATAAACCAAGTAAAAAGCATTTACATGTTCTCTTCTCTGGACTTTACCACAGAAGTGGTAACAAGCAGCGCAGCGCAGCGCTGTGACATTCCTAACTTCTCCAGCTAATCTGGAGGAGAATTTTTGTCTGTGCCATTAATCATTCAGCTCTAAAAATCACCGATTTCATTTATTCAGCTGTATTACCACTCAGTATGCTCCGTAAACACTGGTATGCTCCATAAAAATACTTTGGGAAACAGCATTTTCAGTTATAAAAAGCAACATTTAATTATGGGAGCGCTGAAGCACTGGAACAAGATGAGGGAAATAGGTGACAAATGACTAACGCTTCTGCCTAGACAGAAGGAATTAGCTGCTAATCCATTTCCCCCCAAAATCCAGCCAATAAGTATCTATTCCCAGAAAAAGTTTATCAAGTACAGGTAAACGTGCGTGTTCTGGTGACTGTGTTCAAAATTCAATAGCCAAATGTTACAGTTGCCCCCTTCACTACACTGTAAAACGCAGTGAGACAAAACATGCTTTGCGTGTGCAAAGCAGGCCTGTAACACAACTTATGTACGCAACAGCAAATTAAAAAAACAAAAACACACCACACCATGACACAGCTCAATAGCGCTGTATCAGCAACAGGCAAATTGAAGGTTAGGCTTTCTTTTCAAATTTTTAGAAGACATACAATTATATGAGCCTCTCACACTACGTTAAGACCAACTGCAATTAAATAGGCCAACCCTTTCTTCACCACATACAGAAATAATGTATTTACAGTATTTACAATTTTCAAAGATTTTGGACTTCTTACATTGTTTTGCAACGATTCATATTCTTCAAGATGAAGAATAGTTACACAGTAGCTTTAGGAACTATTCAGAACATAAAACAGTTTCTGTAATAAGTCAGGTTACTAATTCTAACTTACTGATGTAAAGACTAGAGTGCCTTAAAAGGAAATAAAACCAGCCATTTCACCTAAATATCATGCTATCCCATTATTTGCGGGATAATATCACATAATCTACAGATGTTTTACGCAGGTTAGATATTGTTTAGTTTCATAGTTTTCCGATTTAAGTAATAAAAGCAAGGGAGCTGCAGTTCTAACTCCTTTGTGTATTCAGGTTGCTGCTGTCATTGCAACATTGTCAAGATCAGAGCCACAAGTTCCTCTCATGTATCTTCAGTTACAAGCAAGTGTATTCTTCTCTATATAAGTTTTTTTTTTTTTTGCCCAGCTTAAAATAGAAATGTACCAATTTGAAATACAACATTCTGATACTCAGATTTACTCTAAGTTTCCAGGTTAAGACTGGCAAACTTCTAACCTGTACCCTTGAAAAGTACTTTAAAGCAGTTTAAAAGGGTTTTAACTTTAGAGTTAATGTAAGATTTTAAAAGCCCAGACTCATGAAAAGTAATATTAAAAAAAAAAAAGTATAATTGAGCTCTGCATGAGAGGAAAATATTATTTGTGTTCAGAGCTTTTCTCCTTCCAAGTTCACAATAATCAAAGCACCTGTTCTGAATAATAGTACTAGAGAGAAAATTGAAGGCCTCGCAGCAACACACACTTTCAGTGCCACTTTTTTTATTACAATGTTTCCCGAAAAGACAATAGGGATTGAAAACTTGCATGTTTCAGTGCTACTTTTTTAATATAGTATTTACTGAAAAGAAAATAGGGATTTAAATTTAATTGGTTAAAGATGGAAAAAAATAGTCCATCCTTCACAGCAACAAAATTAACAGTTAAAGCAGACTGTTTTGTTAAGCAGACAATATTGTTAACTGCTTTCTTACACTGCAAGACTTCAAAAGAAAGATAATCAAATTGAAGTCCTTTGCATGCTTTTAGCAGAGCTGTTGGCATAAGGGCTCTGAATCATTCAGTATTCCCCACATATGAATCAACATATATTAACCACAACCAAATTCTGAGAAGCTTAAGTCAGAAGAAAACCTGAAGAATATTTAATCCTTCCAATTCTTCCATACCAAGGAAGGTAACATTAGCTTTTCAATAGATTTTTTTTTTTTTTGAGATTACAAAGTAAGGATCTATATTTGCTACTTTCACAAACAGCAGAAATCATTGTCAGTCCTTCCTAGACTCTTATAACCAACTGAAAGCAAGTAGCTTTGAGACTTCTATATACATGCCACAAGCATCTTCTTCAAAAGAGGGAAGATGCTACTGTAAAAACAGACCTTTTCAAGTTGAAGCAATTACATGTTTGGTCAGAATTGTACATTAAGATTATTTTGAATTCAAATAGTAGAGTTTGAGCATTCAATATTACATACAAAAAGTCTGTAAGTGGCAGCATTGCTGCATGTAAGGCATTTTAGGAATGATACCAACACAGCTCATTGCCTTCAGCATTTCATTAGGTTCAACTAACATCAGCAACCTCTTACATTTTAAGATTGTTTACTACTAAAACCATGGCCATTGGGATCAATGCAGAGACATCTGCAGAGCTTCCACAGCAACAGATGCAACAGGAAGAGTGAGCCTTTCCCATGCTTGGAGGATGACCGTCTGTACAGCTAACTTCAACACGCCGAAGGAAAGAGGTCACTTCCCGTAGTCAGTCCTCACTAACTGGCCCAGTCCTGAAAGCGGAAACAGTCACTTGCAATCTTCCACACTGTGTTGGTAGGTGTGGCTTGTGCTGTCAGCAAGAAGTTCTGATTGAAGTAGCGCTGCTTGTTGCCATCAAATTTTACTGTCCCACATGTCACTACCAGGACTGTCGTCTGGCTCTGAGTAGCTTGCTCTTCACAAGGAGAAAAAGTATATAAAAAAATCCCCAATAACACAAACAAAGACTAACAGCTAAAGAAGTAGGAAATGTACATAAAAGTTTCATTTAATTCTATTTATATTAGTTATAGGCTAACACATAGTTATACACTCATAAAAAATACAGTTTTGTTGTATCATATCTACATAGACAATTGTTTATTCATTTGCAAACAATGCTTTTTAGTGGCTTTTTTATTTTCAACACATGCTGCTCATTTTAGAGCACTATGAAAAGCCCCTGGGTTTTTGCTTGGAATAAGCTCTCGTTATTTGATATATTCAGCAAGTTGCACATACTTTCCTCCCTTCTGTTAGAGACTGTACTCTTTTCACAGCAGAGCAAAGCAAACAAGATTGACCATAGGTTTTTTCTGCTTATATTCCCAAAATATTTATTAGAAGTCATTTATTAACTTCTCGATTACGTAAGCATTTATCTGAAAGCTGTTAATTAGAAATCAAGAGAATTTAGCACGCATTCTATCTATTTTAGATATTAAGAAATCAAAGTACAGAAAGGTTAATGATTTGTTCCACATCACACTGCAGGGCAGTATCGGAGACTATACTAGAGGTCTCTTGACTCTCAAGCTTTGTCAAGGACAGTGTAACTTGATAAGCCACATTTTTTCAATACATGAAAATGTCACATCTGAGCCTTAGAACAACACCTGAAACCACATCTGGTCTTAACGAGAAATTTGTTTAAAGAATTTTCCTAGACGGGTGGAAGAGTATGCAATTGCTGCATCTCTTGATTTATGCTTTATTTATGCACAACTTTACATTTCAACCAAATTTTATATTTTATATAAGCATGCCCCTGAAGAGAAATACTGAGCACTATTACAGTTGTTGTTCACTTTCAACAGTTACAAAAAGAATTACAAAAAATCACCCTAAATTATATAATAACCTTACCGTGAACAGGTTGGCAGTCCAATACATTAACCTGGAATTCGCTAGATGGCAACATTTCAAAAAATTCATTCAATGCTTCTTGCCCAGACACTGCATTACCATTCCAGACTAATGTTGCTTTGTCCAAATAAAGTCTAGTCAAAACCTGAGGGATTATGAACATACATATTTGGGGGAAATGTATAAAAACATACAATGTACAACATTAGGATTCAAAGAATTCTGTTTTGTATTACTGATTTCTTCTGTACCTTAAAGAGCGTCCTCCTCAAATATCAGCTCCATTAACAATTAGTGCCCCAACTAAGAATTCAAACTAATAGCTGAAACATGTTTTACTTTATTACTTAACATAGTGACTGATAACCCTCCCAATATATATACCATTGAGATTCCTTTAACAAAGCCAGTGACAGAGCTGTACTACTCGCTAACAAAAGGATGCTGCTGCCTTTCCATAAGTTCATCCCTAAATTCTTTTTTTTTTTTTTTTGGTGTGCGACACAGATTGCAGAGCCAAAAAAGTCTAATTTCAGGTAAAAAATAAAAGGTGAACAAGACCAGGAACAGTGGAAACTTAGAAGAGGACAGATATCTGCAGCAGCAGACCAGAATTTCCCCAGTATTTTCTAAGTTGTAACAGTTGAGTAACTATCCCTCAAGCTGTTACTACCTCTCTGCTTAACCTGCTTATGTACAATGCGACTAAGGAGTAACACCCAACTGCTGACACTTCCACATAATCTAGAAGTTATTAAATTATAGCTATAATATATTAAAAATTCCAAAGAACAGTCAATTTTCACAGCTGCCTTCTGGTACACAAATATTTCTTACATGAAACCACATCAACGTGATCTAAAGACTCCCAGACTCTTTACTATAAGAGAAGGGAGAACTATAATAATAAACCTTGGCAAAAAAATAAGCTTTAAAAAAAAAAAAAAAAAAAGCTCGGAGCTCGGAGACAAATAAAGCAAGTTTTATCTGCCTACGTTGACCAAATCCTGTACTATTACCGTAATAAGTCTGAGATACTTTCTAAAAGGGTCTTCTTTACAACAATGTTGCACAACGAATTCTCTGCAGAGCATGTCTAAGGAAACAGATATCTCAACTTTGCCAATACAATAGGCAGGAACCAACTTTCAGATGCTTCCAAGCCAATGCTAGTTAGAAAAGCAAGGAAAAACGCAGGAGGTGCAATTTTGACTACCGTCAAAACATCTACATACCCTTCTTCTTTTGTCCATTGTCTCATAATAAATGTTGACAAATTCTTCAGCAGCTCTACAAGCTTGATCCACATAGGTTTTGAAATCCTGGAGAGAAGAAACCATACAAAATTATATACGTTAAGCAATTTCATGCAACTAGTCATCTAAGCAGTTTTTCCAGCTAGGGAACTACCCTTTCATAGTTCGCCAAAGTCACCATCTTTCCCATCCTTACTAAAGATAATGTCAAACAATGCTGAAAATGATTTCAAATTCCTCTTTCTTTGTTGGAGACACCAGCATTTAGCAATGTGCCAGCTTTAGGATTCGTTTTTGAATGCTGATTTATTTACTATATTTGTATTAGAAGTATTCACATTAGAAACTGGGCTATGACTGGCTGTCAGTGGAGCAAAGCATTCAGTGAAAGCATTTGTTCCTGCAATGGTTATGCTCTTTTGAGATAAAGCTTTAAGGAAATAAGATTTATTCCAGTTATTTCTGAACAGTATCAAGAAGCCTATCACACTGCCACCATAGTCTCTCTCTCTCTTTTTTTTTTTT